GCTCTCCAGGGCAGAGTCCCCTCTAACAGGGGACTGCTCCCAGGGCCAGGGTGAGGGCAGCCAGAACTTTGCCAATATCCTATCTCCTCTCAAGCCTCGGAGAGCTCTACAGGACCTCTCTAAGACGCCACAGCCTAGCAGGCTTCACTCACCTCTGCCCGCAGATCAGGCAGGCGAAGGGCTTCTCGTTGGTGTGCGTCAGCATGTGCCGGCGCAGGTCCTTCTTGTTCTTGGAGGCGAAGCTGCAGTGGGCGCACTTGTGCGGCCGAAGGCTGGCGTGCTGGACCATGTGGCTCTGGGGGCGGAAGGACAAGCGGAGGGTCAGAGAGTGCCCGTTTCTCCCAAACTCTTGTTCCCAGGGCTGCTCTGCGCCAGGGAACCTACCCGAACCTCCGGCCAGAGGGCTGCAGTGAACGGACAGTCGGGACACTTGAAGGTGCTGGGCCCAATGTGGGCTCTCTTGTGACTCTCCATTTCTGCCCTCCCTGTGAACATGGCTGTGCAAATCTTGCATGAAAACTTTTTGGCTGTGGAAATCTTGCACGAGAGCTTCTTGGCTGTGGAAACCTTGCATGAGAGCTTCTTGGCCATGCCTTGCAGCGCAGGCCACTTGACCTTTGGGGATGAGACTTCCTGCCCCTCAGAGGCTGGGGATAAAGACGAGTCCTTCTGGAGCTGCCTGGTGACACACTGCACCAGGGGCCACTTGACGCTGGCGGGCTGTGCCTCCTGGCCCTCCGCGGGTGAGGGGAAGGCAGCGTCCCCGCTGAGGGGCTGCGAGAGAAACACTCAGTCACACCTGCTCACACTGCTGCCCAAGACGGGGAGAAAGCTCAGCTCCTTACCTCACCGTGATGGAACTGGCTCCCCGGAACGCTGGACGACATGATATAGTGATTGTTATGGTCCTTCAGAGCCTCCTCTGTCATCACAGCTTCGCTCACCACAACTGCGTGGGAGGTCTCCGCAGGGCTCTCCTCCTCACTGCCGGAGAGGACGGGGTCAGGGAGGATCCGCCAGGTCCTCCTCGCCACTAAAGCCTCCTCCTTTGAGGTCAGAAGTGCCTCCGTCCCCCAGCTCCTCCCACACAGCTGACCTGTACAGCGTGCCTGGAGCCTGAATCTCCTCACTGATGGGCGTGATGATGCTGTACTCTGTCATCCCGCCAAAGGGGATAGTGATCTGCTGCAGCTCCGAGCCACCCAGGGTTACCTCCTCGTAAGCCTCCTGCACCAATGTCTCCCCCGGCTCTGCCATGTGCAGCGTCACCAACTTCTGCTGCTGCTGCTCCTCAGAGTCCATCTCCGCCCCCTCCTCCTGTGCCGGTG